ATGTGCGAAATTCCTTACAGCGCTTGCTCGATCTTTGCGTCGTCTCTGACCCAAAAACCTAACCTACTCCCTAGGTATTTCCTATCAGAATGCAAGAGGCTTACGTAGCAAGCTTCCTAACTTGTATTCTGATAGCCTTTCGTTTGCATCTCAGGTTATTGTGCTCACAGAAACCTGGTTAAAGCCGGAAATTCTGAGCTCGGAAGTTTTTCCAATACTCCTATACACCTACACAACATGACTTTATGGCTCAAGTCAACCATGTGCGAAATTCCTTACAGCGCTTGCTCGATCTTTGCTTCGTCTCTGACCCAAAAACCTAACCTACTCCCTAGGTATTTCCTATCAGAATGCAAGAGGCTTACATAGCAAGCTTCCTAACTTGTATTCTTATAGCCTTTCGTTTGCATCTCAGGTTATTGTGCTCACAGAACCTGGTTAAAGCCGGAAATTCTGAGCTCGGAAGTTTTTCCAATACTCCCATACACCTACACAACATGACTTTATCGCTGGCTCAAGTCAACCATGTGCGAAATTCCTTACAGCGCTTGCTCGATCTTTGCGTCGTCTCTGACCCAAAAACCTAACCTACTCCCTAGGTATTTCCTATCAGAATGCAAGAGGCTTACGTAGCAAGCTTCCTAACTTGTATTCTGATAGCCTTTCGTTTGCATCTCAGGTTATTGTGCTCACAGAAACCTGGTTAAAGCCGGAAATTCTGAGCTCGGAAGTTTTTCCAATACTCCTATACACCTACACAACATGACTTTATGGCTCAAGTCAACCATGTGCGAAATTCCTTACAGCGCTTGCTCGATCTTTGCTTCGTCTCTGACCCAAAAACCTAACCTACTCCCTAGGTATTTCCTATCAGAATGCAAGAGGCTTACATAGCAAGCTTCCTAACTTGTATTCTTATAGCCTTTCGTTTGCATCTCAGGTTATTGTGCTCACAGAAACCTGGTTAAAGCCGGAAATTCTGAGCTCGGAAGTTTTTCCAATACTCCTATACACCTACACAACATGACTTTATGGCTCAAGTCAACCATGTGCGAAATTCCTTACAGCTCTTGCTCGATCTTTGCTTCGTCTCTGATCCTGCGAGAGTCAGTTTAGCAAGGGTGGCGCCTCTGACGCAGCCCGAAGATCCTTATCATCCAACTTTCGATGTGACTCTTGATATTGGGTGTGACGTACAGAATATTTCTGACCGTCCAGTCAATAAAGTCCTATGTTTTCGCAAGACGGACTTTGAACGGCTGAATAATTTTATAAACGAGTTCAATTGGTCTGATCTATACATGTGCACTGACATGGCAGTTGCCGTGGATATTTTTCACAGTGCCATGAATTCATTTTTTACTGAATGTGTTCCGTTATATTATCCGCCAAGCTCGAATAAGCCGCCGTGGTTTACTAAAGAGTTGAGCCGACTTAAAAATAAAAAATCTAGACTGTGTGCTAATTTTAAATTCACCGGTTCTCAATCTGTCCTTTCATCTTATTTATCAGCTCGGTCAAACTTTACCGATAAAAACTATTTAACTCGTTGTAGGGCCCAGTTCTCACAGGACCCAAAACAGTTTTATAATTTTGTTAACACTAAACGTAAGCGCTTTCATTTGAAAATACTACCGCAAATAATGATCAGGCAATAGCCGATCTATTCTCGCAGTTTTTTCAAACAACTTATGCAAACTCCTCGTATATACACCAGACTTATTCCTACGACATACCCAAATCAAACTTAATTTTCTATCCTAGCCTAAACGAAAGCTCTCTCCTTTAAGATCTTCATCGTGTCAAGCCAGTTTATTCGCCAGGTCCCGACGGAATTCCTGGCTGTGTGCTCAGGTATTGTGCCGACGCCCTGTGCTATCGCCTTCTGAAATTGTTTACCTTGTCCTTAGAAACCTCACACTTTCCCATTATTTGGAAGGAATCGTTTATTATTCCTCTCCACAAAAAAGGTAGCAAATTGGATGCCAGCAATTATAGAGGAATCTCTAAGTTGTCGGCCATCCTAAAATTATTTGAAAATATTATCACCCCTCACTTACAGCACCTTTGTAGATCGGTTATTTCTCCATGTCAACATGGTTTTATGAAGCGAAGATCAACAACAACAAATCTTTTGGAGCTCTCTTCCTATATTATAAAGGGCTTCCATAATAATTGTCAGACAGATGTAATCTATACTGATTTCAGTAAAGCATTTGACTCTGTTAACCATTCTCTCCTCGTTAGAAAACTCGATTCAATGGGTTTTCCAAGTGATCTCCTTAATTGGATCTTAAGTTATTTGAATGGCAGGGCGCAAAAGGTCCTCTTTAAGAATAATTTATCCAATGTTCTAAGGGTTACATCTGGCGTCCCGCAAGGAAGGCATTTGGGACCCTTATTGCTTACATTATTTATAAATGACCTGCCCAAAGTCTTAACTAACTCCAAAGTGCTTATGTAGGCGGATGACCTCAAGCTTTGCGTGCAATACAATGACGTTGCCTGCCAGTCGGATTTACAAAGAGGTCTTAATAATTTTTAAACTTGGTGCCGTGTAAACTTATTAAACTTTAATGACTCGAAATGCAAGCTAATGACATTCTCACGTGTCGTTCCTAAGCTTGCTTTTTACATGCTGAACTGCTGCTCTTTGGAAAGAATTAATTCTGTTGACGATTTGGGCGTCCGCTTGGACCCAAAACTTGACTTTACTGATCATATTTCGTCTATGGTGAATAGAGCCAGGGGTGTGCTTGGATTTATTAAACGGTGGTCGAAGGAATTCAATGACCCCTATGTTAATAAATCCCTATATACTTCTTTAGTTCGTCCTATCTTAGAATATGGATGCTGCGTTTGGAGCCCTCAGTACGGCGTCCATAGTAAACGCATTGAGTCGGTTCAAAAGAACTTTTTACTTTTCGCTCTACGCGGTTTAAATTGAGATGCAAACCAAAGATTACCTTCATATTCTAGTATATCTATTCCTTTGGAATCTTGGGCCATTCTTCCAAGAGGCCTATTTTGAGCTAATTTTGATTTGGTATCGACCTCTTGCGGATACCAAGATCCAAAATTGGCTACAAATTCTCAATGAAGTTAAGGTCAGGAGACTAGGCAGGTGTATCTATTAAGTTTGGGCAGTTCCATTGCATCCAGGTCTGTAGAAAATCTGATTTTTGCTTTGGGTCATTATCCTGGTAAAATTGGTAGCTCTTCTCTATGGTCAATTTCTTGGCGTCCTGGTCAAAATTATCCTTCAAGTATTGAAGGTACTTATGTTTGTCCATAGTTCCATCGATTAACGCTAACATTCCAACACCGGATACCGCCATGCATCCCCAAGCCATGATTCTATCGCTACCATGCTTCACCGTACGTATTAGATTTTTAGTGTGCAGCTCTGTATTTAGTTGATGTCAAGAATACTGCATTCCATCTGGCCAAAAATGTTGATCTTGGACTCGTCAATGAAAATAACATCATTCTAGATCGATAACGGATGAGTTACATGGTCGTTGGAAAATTTAAATTTAATTTAATAAATTTAAATTTATTTTAAATTTTATTTTATAAAAGGCCGAGTAGCCCGTAGGCCATTAAAGTTGGGTTTCCGCAAGTCGCGGTGGACGACACCTTTTCCCATTTCATGCTCAATATCTACTGTATGTTTTGGTGCCCAATTTTGGCGATTAATTAATTTATTTAATTAATTTTTGGTGTAATTCGGCTTTTCTCCATACCTGTAAAAGTTTTATTCTGAGCATTTTTGACTTTATCTGCTAATAGATTATCTCGGTTGAAGCATTGGATGATATATTGGACAGGAATAGAGCTCACGTTTACTATTTCAGCAAAATTAAGTTTAGATTTTTCATTGTTGATGTGATTTAGGACCAATTTGCTCTGCTCCATGGGTGTACACGTGCTCATTTTGGTAAATCAAAGAACTTTTTTTTTCAGTGTAACCAAACGCCAAAAACATATAAATATATAAGTTGATATCTTCTCCAATGGATTGCAACAAGAAAAAGTTATTTAAGATTAACAAATTACAAATTTAGTGTACTTAAAGTTCTTGCACGAAATAAGCTGTGACATGAAAAAAGACGGTTTTTTTTTTTTTTATTTAAGAGTTAACTAATGGTATTTAAAAATAATAAAGTGTTTAAATTAATAAATAAATAATAAAACTGCATTTAATTTTTTTGTATATCTCTTACCGTTTGTTAGTTATAAGAATTTGAATTTAAAGTCTACCTCTGCACGACATAAGCTGTGAGCCACTGTATATCCTATTAGTGTTGCGCCACTGTAGAACCTCCTTTGAACTTCATGAACCTTTTAGAGTGTTCTGTGCAAATTATAATGATTTGTACACACTAATCTCTAACGTAGTTACCCTTTAAAAATTAAAATCTTTAATACTAACACATGCAAGCCAACAATCTGGCAGCACGCCGGTAGTCAATTTCCTCGTATTCTATCCTATATTTTCCATCGCGCCTACTAATACCTAACCCAAACAGGCACGTGCCTGGTGTCATACGGGTCACTTGAATGTACTGAACTGACCGTAGTGCATCAACGTCCATATCATTTCTCGATCGTTCCTATGGGAGCTATATGACGGACAGACGGACATGGCTATATCGACTCGGCTGTTGATCCTGATCAAGAATATATATATATACTCCTTCACTGCGTTGTAAACTTCTGACTAAAATTATAATACCCTGCAAGGGTATAACAACGGGTTCCAACCAGAAAAGAAAGAGAAGGTGAAAAGGAACCGAACCATAGATAGGGGTTAAAAGGTTCAAAGCTACGCGAGCGGGCGGTTCATAAAGTTTGAAATAAGAATTGAATTTTTAATTTTTTTTTTGTTTGCGGAAAATTTTTGTTTTTTTTTAACAATTCATTTTTTTATATATATTGTTTAAATTTTTCATCGGTTTTAGAATTTTATTTATTTATTTATTATTTCATATCTAATCCATATTTATTACCCATAAATCCCTTGGTTATCATATATTTATTTATTCCATATTTATATACCTATAAGCCCAAATCTATATGATTTGCTTGCCAAATAATTCAGTCGGTGTAGCAGTGAAGCTGTTTTTTTTGTGAAATTGTTGGTTGTAGATTGTATTTGTCGTCCAATTTGAATTATGCGAGCACCTGCATGGTAGGGAAGGGATGAGCATGTGGCCTCCAGTTCATCAGGGGGAGCCAGGTCAGTTAGGTGTGTGTGAGGAACTGTAGATATTATTGTCTTTGTTTCCGCGTGTTTGAAATTAACCGCGCGGTGTATAGAGTTGTGTAAATGTCGAGTATCGATGAAATTTATTGTTGTGTGTGGCGGGCAGTGTTAGGAGATCCATGGCCCAAGGAGAGATCTAGTCGGTGCCAGCCCAAATGGCATGCAGGTTCTTTAATGGGGAAAAAACAAAATGGCGCCCAATTTATAAACGACAGCACTATATCCTGCTGAGTATATAAAGCAAGGGTATTTCTAGTTAGTGGGTAAGAGCGGACGATCGCTTAAGAGTTCACTCGCCAGAAAGAAGGACACACTAATTACAAATTTAAAAGTGGCCACAGAGATGTATCACTTTTGGGATTTGGTCCGGAATCACAAGGACGACATCAGCGGCTGATAAGAAGCTGATTTGCGAACAGTGATAAAGGGAACAATTTTACCATATGTGATATAAATCTGTGATATAGCCATAAGTAAAAGTAGGAATAGGTAAGTAGCAAAACATTGCTTGTTTAATAAAATATAGTAGATAGGGCATAAAATATTTTAAATTAATAAGAAATAAAAAAAAGGCAGATAGAAAAAGGAACTTAATTAAATTCAATTAACGTTACCAATTGTTTTTTTTTTTGCGAGAATCGAAAAGTCCTGCGACATCTGACGACCTAAGTTGACGGTTCGTGAGCCTTTGGAAGCGATCAGATAAAGAAGATGACCTCGGCTGTCAAGCGTAGAGTAGGGGGTGGCATCTTTTATGACGCAGGATGAGTCCGTCTGAAAGCAAAGTGGCTTTTATTTAGCACCAGTGACTAGGCATATTCCCGTAAGAATTCCTGAGGCAGAAAATGGAGAAAAGGGTGCTGAAGGGCTGATAGCAGGGTCGGTCGGAAATTCAGCGAACAACATAGGAGGAGAGTTCCACGGATCCTGAACCTAGACCCAGAAGGCACTCCAGACGGGTATTCGAATATCCAATTGGATCCGATTCAGGAACAATATTGCCTGGAGAACGCCGAAGCATACAGGTCAATGCATAAGCGAGAAATGCAGGAGCTGATTCAGGTTTCACAGGAACAGATCCTAGTCGACATGACGCATCTGATGGACATTCGCATCGACAAGTGCATGCGAGCAGGTTTTGCCGAAATGATGAAGAGGATGGATTAACGAGACGCAATTTCTTCATCATCATCGAACAGGACTGCGGATACGGAGAGGGATCTGAAGGAAGGCCAGCTACCGGAAAAAGAGCGCGAACAAAGCCTAGGACAGGGCGAGCCGCAGAATAACTCCTGGCAGGCTTTTGGCCAAAATTCTACATTTCAATCAAGTTAACGGCTTCAAGGAAGACCCGGCGATGGAAGGACCCAAGAAGTAGGGAATACACAGGGTGCATATAACCTTCCAGGACCAGAAAACCGAACAAGATCCCGCAGTGTTGACCAAGTCGGAGCAGCAGAATATGTCCAGAGCAGGAATAGCGCTCAAAGCATTCCAGACGGACGAATCACAACCCGCAATAGTCTTGATGTGTTATTGGATAAATGGGGGATCCAATTAACGGGAAACGCTAGGGGAATAAATGCGGAAGATTTCCTATTTAGAGTGGAGCACCTTCAGCACCATTATGGAATGCTGTGGGCGGAGTTATTAATTTCCATCGCTTGCTGGTAGAAGTGCCATCAGAGTGGTATTGGCTCCTAATCCGCACCAAGCAGCCCCGATCCTGGAAAGAGCTCAAGCAGGCACTCGAGCGGCGTTTCTGCGATAAAAGGAGAGACTACGACACAATTCAGGACATAGCCGAGAGGAAGCAGAGACCCGGAGAGACGCTGGTGGAGTACTTCACGGCGCTCAGGAAGCTAGTTGCCTCACTTGTAGGCGGAGTGGACCCGGATTGGATCATCAAAGCGGGACTCTGGATCCGGAGCGCGGAAGACAGCGCATGCGATTGCCCGCGACCTACAGGCCCAGACAGGAACAAAGGATCGGCAGAGTAGAAGAACTTCGCGGCTCGACGGTTGACCAAGAATCCCTGGCGGACACCGAAGAGGTGGTGGATGCAATAGCAGAAGCAGCGCCGAGAAAGCTTGTAATTTGCTGGAACTGCCAGAGTGGCCATGTCTACCAAGATTGCGAAGCAGCGCAGCGAAAACTCTTTTGCTATAAATGCGGGTTGCCAAACACGGTGACACCCAAATGTCCGAATTGCAGGACGGGAAACGCCCAGAGGAACGCAACTGCGACGGGCGAACCGCGTTCCATGAAGGAGCCCGAGAGGAGGCCCCAAACCAGTTAGGAAGCGAATACCGTCAGGGCACTCAACCGAGCGTGCAGGCACCAGGCCGACTACATCTGACCCTAAGCAAGAGAGTGCGCCGATATAAGGAAGCACGCGCACGGATATTCGGGGAGAATGACGCTTGTCTCGAAAAGGGTGAAAAAATCCAGAGACCGGTTCCAATTACAAACAATTAATACATTGGGAAGACTGGATAGGGAGACGGACCCAAGGCCAACTGTATCGATCCAGATTTCCGGAAGGACCATAAGTGGGCTGCTGGACTCTGGAGCATCTGTAAGCTTGCTGGGAAAACGTTGCAAAGAGCTGTTAGAAACTTTGGATATCATCTTGAAACCATACCATACCATATGCCAATGGTTAAACGCCGAATGGGGCAACTTAACTGATCCTTGGAAAGGTCACAATACCGATGACATATAAAAAGGACACGGTAGTGATGAATTTGTTTCATTGAAATCATTCATCTTTCCAAGTGAACGGACGTGTTTTTTTCTTGCGCTCTCGTTTTGTATTAAAGTTTGAATCTAACCACCGGGGTTAACTTAATTTTTCTAATTTGTGTTAATAACTTCCCGTTCACTTCGCGTGTGCATGCAGCTATTCTAATTTTGTGTATATAATTGGTTTTATTTTCCAATTTAGTTGTGCTGCTAGTGCTAGCTTTTGCATATTTTGAATTCCTTTTTGTGCCTTCTTCGTCTAGCTTTTGTTTGCGCCGTCGCAACAGCTAAACGTTTTATCTATTTATCTCCCACGCTCTCCAACTCTCTCGCTTTAGCTGTGCCGCTGCACTTCTTTTCTTATCTAATCTAATACGCTCTCCCGCTCTCCCGCTCTCTCGCTCTCGCTGTGACTCTTCACTTCTTTCTTTATAGCTCTGTTGTTATTTTTTTCCAAGTACAAGTACAGTGGTAAGTCCTCATAATGTCCGGAACTGTTGTCTGTTTTGTTAAAACCTGCCAAAAGGCAATTGCTGCAGGTGACCTTACAATCGGCTGCTGGCTGTGCGACAACGTCATGCACGCCAAGTGTATTGGAGTTGCAGCTCGGACGGTGGACGATGTAAGAAAAAACATCGGCCTGCGTTACTGTTGTGAGGCCTGTCGCGATGTAGAAAGGGAGATGACGTCTTTCATGCGGCAAACCAAAAGCGGTAGTTCTTGGAGATTTTAATATCCCTGGTGCTATTTGGTGCTCAAATAATTCCACCAATACTCTCAATACATCACACAACATGACTTTATCGCTGGCTTGTTTGACATTTCGCTGTCTCAAGTCAACCATGTGCGAAATTCCTTACAGCGCTTGCTTGATCTTTGCTTCGTCTCTGATCCTGCGAGAGTCAGTTTAGCAAGGGTGGCGCCTCTGACGCAGCCCGAAGATCCTTATCATCCAACTTTCGATGTGACTCTTGATATTGGGTGTGACGTACAGAATATTTCTGACCGTCCAGTCAATAAAGTCCTATGTTTTCGCAAGACGGACTTTGAACGGCTGAATAATTTTATAAACGAGTTCAATTGGTCCGATCTATACATGTGCACTGACATGGCAGTTGCCGTGGATATTTTTTACAGTGCCATGAATTCATTTTTTACTGAATGTGTTCCGTTATATTATCCGCCAAGCTCGAATAAACCGCCGTGGTTTACTAAAGAGTTGAGCCGACTTAAAAATAAAAAATCTAGACTGTATGCTAAATTTAAAATCACCGGTTCTCAATCTGCCCTTTCATTTTATTTATCAGCTCGGTCAAACTTTACCGTGCTGAACGCGCAGTGTTATAAAAACTATTTAAATCGTTGTAGGGCCCAGTTCTCACAGGACCCAAAACAGTTTTATAATTTCGTAACACTAAACGTAAACCTAAAACAAATCCTTCCTCGCTTTCATTTGAAAATACTACCGCAAATAATGATCAGGCAATAGCCGATCTATTTTCGCAGTTTTTTCAAACAACCTATTCTAGCTCTTCGTATATATACCAGACTTATTCCTACGACATACCCAAATCGAACTTAATTTTCTGTCCTAGCCTAAACGAAAGCTGTCTCCTTTTAGATCTTCATCGTGTCAAGCCAGTTTATTCGCCAGGTCCCGACGGAATTCTTGGCTGTGTGCTCAGGTATTGTGCCGACGCCCTGTGCTATCGCCTTCTGAAATTGTTTACCTTGTCCTTAGAAACCTCACACTTTCCCATTATTTGGAAGGAATCGTTTATTATTCCTCTCCACAAAAAAGGTAGCAAATTGGATGCCAGCAATTATAGAGGAATCTCTAAGTTGTCGGCCATCCTAAAATTATTTGAAAATATTATCACCCCTCAATTACAGCACCTTTGTAGTTAGGTTATTTCTCCATGTCAACATGGTTTTATTAAGCGAAGATCAACAACAACAAATCTTTTGGAGCTCTCTTCCTATATTATAAAGGGCTTCCATAATAATTGTCACACAGATGTAATCTATACTGATTTCAGTAAAGCATTTGACTCTGTTAACCATTCTCTCCTCGTTAGAAAACTCGATTCAATGGGTTTTCCAAGTGATCTTCTTAATTGGATCTTAAGTTGTTTGAATGGCAGGACGCAAAAGGTCCTCTTTAAGAATAATTTATCCAATGTTCTAAGGGTTACATCTGGTGCCCCGCAAGGAAGCCATTTGGGACCCTTATTGTTTACATTGTTCATAAATGACCTGCCCAAAGTCTTGACTAACTCCAGAGTACTTATGTACGCGGATGATGTCAAGCTTTGCGTGCAATACAATGACGTTGCTGCCAGTCGGATTTACAAACAGATCTTAATAATTTCAAACTTGGTGCCGTGTAAACTTATTATACTTAAATGGCTCGAAATACAAGCTAATGACATTCCCTCGTGTCGCTCCTAAGCTTGCTACTTACACGCTGAACTGCTGCTCTTTGGAAAGAATTAATACAGTTGACGATTTGGGCGTCCGCTTGGACCCAAAACTTGACTTTATTGATCATATTTCGTCTATGGTGAATAGAGCCAGGGGTGTGCTTGGATTTATTAAACGGTGGTCGAAGGAATTCAATGATCCCTATGTTACTAAATCCTTATATACTTCTTTAGTTCGTCCTATCTTAGAATATGGATGCTGCGTTTGGAGCCCTCAGTACGGCGTCCATAGTAAACGCATTGAGTCGGTTAAAAAGAACTTTTTACTTTTCGCTCTACGCGGTTTAAATTGGGATGCAAACCAAAGATTACCTTTCTACTCTAGTAGACTCCTGTTAATAAACTTGCTGTCCTTAGCCAATCGTAGAACGATGCTAGGGATAACCTTTATTTTTAACCTTATCCATGGTGATGTCTGCTGACTTGTTGAGTCAGCTTAATTTCCATGTACCATGTAGAACCACTAGATCCTATATCCCATTAGTGTCGCGCCACTGTAGAACCTCCTTTGCACTGCATGAACCTTTTAGAGTGTTCTGTGCAAAT